AAAAAAAATGAAATCTGGGAAAGGTCCGCAAGAAGAGGAAGATGAGGAAGACGAGTATGGTGCGAAGAAATGCGTCGCCCCATCTGTTAATAATTCCAAAGGTACACATACATTTGTTTCACTCAGTACTTTTTTTCTTCAATGGTTCTGTTTTTTGTTTATTTGTTTTCTTGTCGAATTAGCCGATAGTCATTTAAATCTTTGTATGAATTTGGTGGAAACAGATGGGAAGAACAGTGATAAAGCTAGTGCTATAAGGTCGAAACACTCTGTTACAGAGCAGCGGAGGAGGAGCAAGATCAATGAGAGGTGATTAAGTTTTTAGGCTAAATTGTAATTTCAGTCCTTCGGCTGTACGGGTGTGGCGAAAAAGGTCCATAAAGGACTGATATTATTCCTATGGTTGTGCAAGATTTGCTCGATAATCGACACACGCATATTTCTAGCCAAACCTGTTAACATGGGGGTGGCTTACAGTATGACTGTATGAGCAGCAAATTAGAGAATCAGAAGTTGGCTCTGCATTTGCTTGAGGAAGCTAAAAGCTGATAAAGTGTTTGCGAATTTTTCTGGGTGAATGAGTTTGTGAAAGTGCTTTGTTTATTGCGTAAAAGTTAACACCAAGTAGAAGAATCAGTAATTTACCTCGCCTTGCTTTGAATTTCGAATCCAGTTATACGGATTTTGAAAAACGAAACACTACCTTTCTTTTTCGAGTTTCTTTTACTCTTTGAGCAAGAAGTGGGGGGTCATTGTTTTTAAGTGCTTGGAAAAACTCTGTTAAAACAAATGATGGACTTTTTTAATGTCTTGCATTTATTAATTTCTGCCAAGATTACGGGATGTATGTTTCAATACGAGTAGTTTTCTGTTGCAAGTCTAATTCATCTGGCCAACTTTGTTTCTTATGACTTATGAATTTCATGAGTGTATGTTGGTGTATGAAAATTGTGATTTAAACTTTTTCAGTGTGAAACATCACCTGTTCCTGTAATGAATGTACTTACCGTTTCTGTGCTTCAAAGCTTTTTAATTATTTAAGTTTATGAATCTCTTTTTCTCATTCGAAGCAATGTTTCTTGTGCGTCTCAGATTTTCGATATTGAGGGAACTTATACCGCACAGTGATCAGAAGAGAGACACAGCATCGTTTTTGTTAGAGGTATAACACTTCGGTAGCGGATTATTTACGAATCTACCCTTGAGATTTGGCCTACCTAAATACAAAAAATCCATTTGCTCCTCGAAACTAGTAACACCCCTTGATGATGGTTGAGGTTTGCCTTTGTATATGAATAAATACTTGGAGTATAATTTGTAAAATAGAAATTAATACAACATGGAATTGGCAATTCAGAAATACAGCTGTGCCTTCTGTAATTTGATACCTCAAGGGTATTTTTGTACATAACTAGTTAGCGTTTGATTATATTATACATGTCATGGTTCTTTAATAAGACTATCTGCTTGGGAACATATTCCTAACCGTTGATTTGTTATGCAGGTGATTGAGTATGTACAATTTTTACAGGAAAAGGTCCATAGGTACGAGGGACCATATCAGCCTTGGAGTACAGAGCCTGCAAAGCTGATGCCGTGGGTAATATTTTGTCACGCAACGTTATTTTTTTCAGCATTTCTCTTACTTATTCTTTACGAGATGGATTTGTTATATTTATTTTTCTACAAAACTTTAGACGACATTGTTAGCCAAATTCAAAGTTGATCCATTCCCCTCATGGCATTTCCTGTAAACTGTAGAACAGTTCGTTTTAGGTTTTTTTTTTTTTTTTTAATAGTAGATGAGGGTGTTAAAATATTTTCATACTACATTTGGTAAAATTCTTATTAGTTAATTGTAGCTTACTTTTGTTTTGTTAACATGTAGAGGATGTGTGAGTATGTAACAACTGTATTTTTACGGGACATGCAGTTTCAGGAGTAGATTATACCGTGATAAACTTATTCCTTACTAATATATCCCATTAGAAAATAGTGAAGCGTGATCCAAATTAAATTTGTGCTTAATTATTCGCATGACGAAAACCTTCCCTTAAGCGGCTAAGTATGATTAACAAAACAATTATAGTTTTACGGTGAAGTGCCATACTAGTTGACCATTTTGAACCGAAACTCCAAGAATATGCCACATTGGTATACTACAAAACTAGAAATTTCATAAAACCCCAGAATGAAAGAGGGGTTGGTGTAGCAGAAATGTGACTTTAGACTAAAGCAGTTTATGTGTTAAAGTAATTACCCCGTGTTGGCATATGGCCGTTTCCTTTCCAATCAAATTTGGATTTCAACTTTACCAATTATTATGCTAAGCAAATAAGCCAACTTTAGTTAATTGCTTCATAAGATGATCAACATAAGAAAAACAGAAAACTATTTTAATTTCTAAACTGCATCTCCTTTTTTCCATATGAAATAGAGAAACAGCAACTGGCGAAATTTTGCCGGCCAACTTCACACCGTGAAGAATGGCTCTGATTCGAGTACCACTCCTTCCTTCCCCATCAGGTTCGACGAAAATGGTGTTGCGGGCCCCACAATCATGCACCTTGGCCCGAATAACCACCCAGTCGAGACCGATCATTTTAGGGATGGTCTTTGCAGGTCGATGGACTCTGTGCCAGTTTCTGTTGAAAACAATGGCTCATTCTCACAGGAGTTGCCTGGGCCGGGGGCCCCACTTACGGATTCGCAGCCAACTGAATGTCCTGAAGCTATGAACCTCCAAAACGATCTGATGATTGAAGGCGGAACAATCAGTATATCGAGTGCTTACTCGCAAGGGTGAGTCAATGCACCTAATCGTGTGGAAAATATTTGGATAATTATGAAAACCACCTGACACTTCGTGTATTTTCAGATTAAAAATTTCAAAATCATAAGGCTTTTGGGGATTGGTTCTTATATTTTCACCCTTACTTTCATGAGCAAGTTATGTCTACTCCTTAAAGTTAAGGCAGATCAAACCTTAAGGGGCTTTATCTAAGTTTGCAAGTTGGAATTTTCATCAACACTTTAACATTAAATTCTCGGCTAATTGTGGAATGAATCATGGTCAGCTTATTGAATTCATTGTCACAAGCACTACAGAGCACTGGTGTGGATTTGTCTCAAGCCAGCATATCAGTCCAGATTAATCTTGGAAACCGAGCACAGAGTGGATCAGTTGCTAAGGTGTGTTGCATATTTGCAAGTAGTGCAATATTTACGGTTTACATTATAAGATCCTAAACTTGATATTAGTCTAACCATGAAAGAATAATTCAATATTAAGATCCCCCCAACATTTGTTTCAATTTGCAACCAGTGTCTTTGTTTAATAAAAAATTAACTAATGAAAAATATTGGGTATGTTGTGATTGAAAAATTCACGGGGGTATTTGTTATTTCCAAAGGTGATTTGGCTTCTTTTGTAATTTGTAGAACCTCAGGGCTATTTTAGTAATTTTTCTTTCGGGATGTCTAGACTCCATGATTTTGTACGAGTACTGTAACTGGAATTTCTATCTATCGCTTTCTCTATAGGATCATTGTTTTCCAATGCCTTCTGGTAGCCAACCTGTTGCAACCTTTCAAGATGCTGGTAACAATGAAGACTTTGATCAATCTCAAAAAAGGCAAAAGATTTGATAAAATACTCTGTGATGGGCTACAAAGCTCTTCCTCTCCAACCGAGTGAGTTTTCATCGGGTAGCCTAGTATTTGATCCTTGTATATGCGCAAACTATTTCTTAAAATTTCGCTTTTCTATGTCTGCCTTTTCATTTATGTTAATATAGAATGGCTTGCTTTGATATCTATGTTATTGAAAACTACCATTGGTTGTCACTAACAAGTTTGAAATGCAAAATCAAATTCGAGAAGCTCATGACCCAAATGATTTATCTGTTGTATATGTTTGAACTGTGTTGTGCCACTGTGTGTTGTTCTTTGCCCAACTTACCGTTGTTACAATTAAAAAACTACACTTGTCATTTGATTGTAGTGTTATAGTATGACCTTTTGAGATTAAAAACATATATAAATCAAAATTGAAAAACGCTGCTCTAATATAATATTGAGACCTGAAATGTTGGCAAGAGATGGCAAGAGAAAATCCCGAGCACTGACATGCTATGTACAATTGTCAACATCAATGGGAGCTATTTCCACATTGGACATCCCGATTTTTCTATTTTATCAGTCTTAATTAAGCACTCTTCAGGATTAGACCAAAAATTGTCCTCCTCTTTGGGTTTTCCAGGTATGACCCTTCTTTTTGTCGGATTCCCATATCGATTTTCATGAGCTCTCTTCACTCTTTGCTCGAACTCTTGCCAGTTCTGATTTTCCTCGTATTTGTCGATCAGATGAACTAATGTCTTCTGATCCGGTTGTATGGTCGGCCTGAAACCTAGGTACCTGAAAACCGAATTGTGCAATTAACTTGTAATACTAAACGAGAATTGGTCATTCTATAATTAATTAGGCTAACTTTAGGGCAGTTTTCTACTGAACACTAAACTATTTGAGTTTAGTTAGTTGATAAATTTATGTGTTTGGTTGAACTTATAGAATGGAAAAGAGAGAAAACACGATGAATGGTTCGTCAAGTTAAATCCCGAAGAATTAATGAAAAGATTATAGAATAGAATAGAGCAATACCTGCGATGGCCTTCTACTAGTCTCGCCATATTACCTCCATAAGTCGGCAAAAAAATGTCACTCTCTAGTGACACTATGTAATCAAGTGCAGCCATTTGGCTTGCATACTTCTTGAAAGGCAAAAGCTCAGATGGAGGCAACAATGTCTCCTTCTTCACCTGATAAAAATTAGGATAAGATGGTAAAAAAAAAAAAAAAAAAAAAAAAAAAAAAAAAAAAAAAAAAAAAAAAAAATAGCAACTACTTGAAATAAATTTCGGTAAGTTACGAACTTCCTTTTCTCAAACTAACCAAATTTGGATAGGCTGCTCTCAGTGGAGCCAATCGCTTTTCTCCTCCGTATATGTCACCTGAGGCAATGTAAATCTGCATTTCCCGGTCAACCCCAATTGCTTGAAGGGTCAATGCAGTTTCCTCGGGTGTCAAGGGACACGATCCGGCTAATCTTGTTGTGGTCGAATTTATTTTCTTCTTCCTCCACCATGGAATTGAATATCTGTTATCACATGTGCAAATTACTTTCACAAAAAAAATAATAAAAATAAATAAACAAAAATAATAATAATATTCTGTCTTGCCTTAGAATTACAAATGCCCCTCAAATACTCGGTTTGTATGCAAATAAACTAAAACCTTAGAGTATTTTTCATTAATCTCACCTTAGTCCTTCCAGCTCCTTTGCTTCTTCATCGGTGCATCCTCGATTACAACCTGTGAAGGCCAACATATCCATTTCGTACCTAAGATGAAGGACTAGGAATTTACCATTCTGTCTCATCATTTTCACGATTTTCTTTCCCATCTTCTCGATTGGAGCCTTGAACTTCAGGGCCTCGTAACTCGCCTTGCAACGAACCTTTTGAACTTCCACAGGACTGTTATTTTCCAGCCTAGAGTCGGTTTTCTGAAAATGCAGGATCTTGTGGGTCTTCAGACTTCCATGAAGGACCTACACAAAATGGGAAAAAAAAAAAAAAAAAAAATTACAATGTTCGTAATTTTGCAGACACATCTGGGAAAATTTTGTAATTAGACTAAACTTTTAGAGATGATTTTTTTTTTTTTTTTTGAATTTTGAAAAGTTTGAGAACAAACACCTTGTCTGTGTAGTATGAAATGTTGGACCAGCTAATAGGTTGCATGGAAATATGTCTGTTCATTTTCACCTCTCTCTGCATATCTGGTGGAAGTTGTTTTACAATTCTGACCTCATCCCTCAATGAGTTGATGAAATGATCGACGTTGAATATATCCTCGAATTGACTGCATGAAACGAAAATTGGATTTTTTTTTTGGTTGAGTTTCCTTCTTTTTACATGTTGAAATTTTAATATCATTTGGGGAAATTTTGTATTTTTTTTCTCCAGAATATTGTTTACCTTTGATCTTTCCAGAAAGATTTAGTATCCAGCTGAGGAACTACAAGAGTGGCATTCATGTATCTTGCAATGGCTACCATGTCACAAATCTGCATCAATTCAAGTGTTTTTGAACCAAGTAAGAAAAAATATTAAAGGATATTTGCAAAATCAGCCCTCAAGGTTTGGCCAAATTAAGAAACTAACTAGCAACATGAAAACAAAAATTCTATGGCGCCCACACGGGCGTCATAAACCATGCCACAATCTTATGTGTCATATAAGGTGACTTAAATAATTTTATTTGTAATATCCAACATGGCATGAAGTGGATTTAAACAAGATTTTCCATCCAAAATCAGAATCCCAAAATATATTTGATTACGAATAATTGAATTATTTTGTGATTACAAAAACGCCTTCAGCTTGTTTATGATCTTACGAATAATTGAATTATTTTTCTCTCTGCTTTTTGTAACACTTGGCACATAAAAATTATTATAGTGAATATCCACTATCAGTCATTCTAATTGGTGTGGGAGTTGGGCCGTGGGATGAAATGCAAGAATTGGCATAATCATATTTTTCTTTTAATATATCAGACTAAAAACAACATAAAATAAAAGCTTTCGCATAATTTTAATGTACTTTCAAACGAAACTATCACTCTAAAGAAATATTATAAAATAAAAGTATAACATTTCATAGCATAATTATGAATTTTATTTCAAAAAGAAAAAAAGTGACAGATTAGTCGGTCTAACGATTAGGTATGTCTCATACAAAATTTGGAAATTACCAAACCATTTGCATCCTAAGAGGAGTTAGTAAAGCAAACAATAAAAAACAGACATTGTGGACGTCATCATATATATTTTTCGTGCTACAAATAAATTGAAAAATACTTTGTATTTAAAAAAAATTAGTAGAAAAGGGGTGAAAAAAAATAAATAAACAAATAAATAAAATAACATACTCCAGATCGCATTTGATTGAGTCCTCCATTGGATGAAACATATAAATATCCATTGCTCTCATAGTCCCCTGCAACCAAGCTCTTACGAAATTTAGATACTTTAAAAAAATTAATAATAATAATAATAAAATTGTGATTTTTTAAAGAAAAACCATAATGGAGAATCCGATGAGTTTGACACTCACTCGCCACTGCCGGTTGCCAAGCCTTGGACAAGTGCATCGCCTGAATTGTTAACGTCCAAATTAAGGCCACCGCCATGGCTGTCCGTGCCGCATATTCACAAAAACGAGTTTTCCGAGCTCGAACGGCTGCTCGATTCCTTATCAGCTTCTCCTGAGATTTAATATTTCTAAGTATTTTCAACTCATCCATATTAAGCCCGGAGAAAATAAGATGTGTAGTTAAGTGATAATCATATTTGAGTGTGAGAACGAGAAGAAGAGTCAGAAAAAAACTACACGAGAAGAAGAAGAAGCATGCAGAAAGAGAGAAGATTTTATCATTCTTAAATTTTGTATTATTTTAAGAATAGAATTAGTCTTTTGTATGACTCTGAAATCATATGATGGGGATTAAGTTGTACAAGTGTATTAGGATTGAAATACCTCTTGTTACAAATTTAATAAAAAAAAATATTATTAGTAAAATAACTAGTTAAAAAAATAAATAAATAAATAAATAAATATGATTCTATTCATAAGTAGAAATAATTTGTTACGGAACCTGACAAATCCCCTGACAGCCCTTCTCGACGTCCGTCCAAAGCAACCATAGCTCCTCATCACAAACCAGACTCCGGCACCGACCCACCTCCTCCGGCAGACAACTCAAGCTCACACACTGAGACACAACCAAATACTTGAGCCAAACGAGGCTCCCCACTCCCGAAGGGAGCCTCTTCAGGTTCGTCGGACACGCGGACAGCCTCAATATTCGCAATGAAACAAGTTTTCCCAAATCCAATGGCAATTCTTGCAGGACTATCTCAAAGTCGTGACGCTCAAACTCCCGAGTGTCTTCATCTGACACACACTCGACGGGACTTCATATTAGGTTTATGCAGTGGTCTAGTGCGAGTTCGGAAACACGGGGAAATAGGAGAGGCAGGTCGGGTCCTGCACGGTTGACGCTTTTGCTGATGCCTCATAGGATGATCAGGGAGACTTTGGTTAGGCTCTCCAAAAATAGTTTTACAGTTAGATATGGATGTTTGCGAAAATATTACGTCGATTATATGGTGATGTTTTTCATTTGCCATGCTATTTAATTATAAAATAAATGGATCACTTAGTATAATTTTTATTAGGTAAATTTATATATTTTATAATCTTAATATATGTACTCTAATTAACTATATCAGTACATAATAAACTTGAGTTAAACTCTTAATTGCTCAATATTGATACGGTATTCCAAATTTACAGAGAGTATAAGTATTGTTACACAAACAAACTTTAGTTCAACTCTTAATTTATCAGCATACATAAACCTTTTTTTTTTTTTTTTTTTTTTTGCAAATAAACTTGAATTCAAGCGATCAACTGATCAACAATACAGTTCGAAATAAAGGAGAAAAAAAATACGGAAGATAATCCTTCCACAAGAAGGATCCCGTTGAACGAATTGCCCATCTAGCTATATTAATTTATGAGCTATAACATTGAATCAATGCAGAATGTAATTGTCTACACAGCTCTGGCGCTTTCCTCAGTTGGCTCTGTGGTTGTTTTAATGAGAAATGCATAATCATAAGCTGTTTCCACACAATGTGCAAAGCGGCCACCTTCCCCAAAATGCCCTCCGTTTAGATTTGTCTGCAAGATGACGGCAGACGAACATCTTGAGCATGTCGTGTCTCGAATCTTGGCAACCCATTTAGCAGCTTCCCAGATCCCAACACTAAGAAACAAAAATGTAGCACTATAAACAAAAAAACTTTGCAATATTTTAAGAAAAAAGATAATAATAATAATAACTGAAGTTGGATATTTTTACCGGGAATCATTGAACGATGCGGAGACAAGCATTGAAGGAAAGCAAACTCCCTGTGGAATGTTATCATAAGGAGAGTACTTTCGAATGTAGTTGAAGAACAACTCATTCTGAGGATTTCCGAATTCTTCGTAATCCGATATGGTGAGAGGTAAACTCGAATCCAATAGTGTGTTGAGCACATCAAGAAACGGTACCTATCACGAAAAACACAACCACTGATTGTCAAGTTCACTTCGAGAGAGAAACTATTGCAGAAAAATGTTGAATTCCGATCTTCGACTGTCCTCCAGTTATATAAGCTATGTTTGGTAAAGCTAGCTTGACAGCTATATGACTTATGGTTGAAAAACTGACCTATATGATAAAAGAGTTCGGTAGAATTAGTTGATAAGCTAGCTGAAATCAAAATTTCAATGAGCTTATTTGAAAAGCTAACCGAGGAAGGAAGCTTATGAGATAAACTCGAGCTTTTGTCCTACCAAACCTAGCTAATTTGAATATTGGAAGCTAATAAGTTGATCAAATAAGCTATAAGCTAGCATATATGCTTTACCAAACAAAGTCATAGTTCGGTGTGGTGTACCTTCAAAATGGCAGCACGAAACAAAATCGGATTCATATTGATGGAAGCCCCCACAAGAAGACATCCAGCACTAATCCCCAAAGCACACAACCGGTTTTTATGAATAAAGCCCTCATTTATCAGATATTCGCCACATGATAAGAAATCATTTATGGAGTTTAACTTGTTCAACCCACGACCTGATTCGTGCCAAGAAGGATCGGCACCAGCACCACCTCTGAACCGAGAAATTCTCATGTCACCAAAATAACTTCAAGTTATGCACCAAAACTAATAGACTAAAATGTTGTGTTCACAAATTAAAACGAAAGGCTGCTTTTAAAACCAAATCCTTTCGAAATACAGAATATTCTATAAAACAACTTCGCGACATGTTTAAGGTTTATTTTATATAATTGGCAATTTTGAAAAATTACTAAAAATAGAATTATGATGACTCGGAATATACCTCACGTCGGCAAAAGCAAACATCCAGCCTCGATCGAGCAAACTCAAACGATCTGGGCACCAGCTTCTATGCAAAGTTTCACCATAGGCACCATACCCATGAAGAAGCCCTGGAGAAAAACCCTTCTGATAAGCACTTCTTGAGAAAAATATCGTCAATGGGATTTTGACCCCGTCACAAGAAATCACTTCCTTCTCCTCACAAACATATTCTCCCGAGATATCTTTCCATGCACGGCATTTATTATGCCGAGCGTATGTTGTATTCTCAACATCACCTGTTGAGATATTTTCAACACCTTCCTGTTGTATGATGGAGAACATTTTGTTTGACATGTCATAGTCGACATGGAGATCAGGTGTCTACACAGCAAAATCAAGGGAAATAATCAGATTTTTTTTTTTTTTTTTCATTTTTCAAACAAGACCTTAACACCAGTCCTTTTAAGCACTTTTAAAATTAAATGTTTTTTGGGACCAAACAACTGAGTGCGCGAAAAAACAGTACCTTTCAGGACTTATTGTAGATGTATTAAAGCAGTTGAGAATTTGGTTTGTGTTTGCAAAATAGATGCTAAAAAATGGAATTAATTTCAAGGGATAATTACAAAAACCAACCTGCTTAATTAAAAGCGAGTGTCCAGTGAATAGGTTTGTCATCTTTTAAGCTAGAAACAGTTGAATATTTCTTTTTTTAAGCTAGAAACTTATAATCATTTTTCTTATACTGGTTGAAAATACTCCCTTAATAACCTGCAGAAGCTTTATTTGTTCAACAACATGAAATAATTGTAACATTTTTAAGTATTTCGGATAAATAAATATGCCAATGTATTAGGCTTATGACAAGTGATATATCAAAGAATATATCATGAGATAAGAACTGCAACTGTACGTACCACTGGTGAGGAGAGGACAGCACGGTATTTGGTGGTCATGAAATCGTGATTTGAACCTGGCGTGATGACTGTATACATGTCTGAGGGTAGAGGAAAATACCAAGGATCGAGATCATCGATCTCCATTTCTTTCTGCAAGAAAATCCAAATGATAAAAAAAGCTAACATGATAACAATAGGCAGGTCGATAATTATCATAGGAGCAATACAACAATAGATGATATCGATAAGAAAGTTATATTAACTGAACCAAAAATTTGTTTGTACCTCACATTCGAAATCTATAGGCATGTTGATGGAACATATTGAAGGGGTGCCCTTTCTGTTAAGTAATAGGACCAGGTGATTGTGAAAAATATCCATATCTTCCAAGCAAATATCTTCGCCAGGCATGATGATATTCTTAAAATGGGAAGAGAACAAGGGAAAGATGCTCAATAATATATATTAACAATATCTATCGTGAATATTGACTCCTGAGAATAAGTAAATTTAAATGCATAGTAAGGATTTTAAGTAGCTCCGATAGAATACCATAATTTGAACACTTGTAAAATACCTTCAAATTAGCTGCTTGTGGATTGCCATCTTGGCATCTGGTTAAATAATAACCATTTCCCGAAAACTTCTTAATGTTGCTTTTATCAGCATTAGTAAGTGCATAAAAGTATCCAGAATGATGTTCCAAAAAGTACTGAACTCCCGATACACGCTTACAAAACCTTTGTAGACCAATTTGTGGATTGGCAGCATCTATTATGTACACCTGCAGCACATTACAAGACATGTGTGAATTACCCCAACAATAAGATAATATATTGCCTTAATGCAAGGTAAGAAAACAGAGAACTGAAAAAGTAAGTTCCTTCCTCAGACGAAGTCCATGAATTGGAATTCACTGTAATAAATTTTCCATCTTTCGTACTCGTGATATCCACGCAAAAGCGCGAATCTTCCTCTGTAAATATTATGGCGTCATCCTCAGACTGTGACCCCACTTTGGTGCACAACACTCTGATATCATCAGTATATATTGTAAGATTATCTTCTGGACAGAGGAAATAAAAATAATAATAACTAAAAATATTGCAAAAAATGAAGTTTAGCACTTCAGCTTGATTACTAAAATATACCAGTTACATTTCAGAATTATAAATAACCCCCACAATTTTACCAGCAACTTCTTGATTTTTGTATTTGCGGAATGTCAATGAGTTATTGGTAAGAGTTGAAGATAAGGGCGTATTCTTTGTACTAGACTAAACGTTTTAGTTTTTCCAATCAATCCTGAAAAAACAAACACGCAGAAAGTTATAGAATTGCCTGTAAGGCCGTTGATTTTGGTCACATGAAGTATAGAAAAGTGTACAGCCATCTTGAGCCCAAGCCAAGCTAACAACACCCTCGACTTCGTGTTGGTGCAAAATGGAGTTGTTGGTAAGGTCCTTAATTTGAAGATGAAATTGTTCATTCCCTTTGGTGTCGAGTGTATATGCAAGAAATCTGTGGTCTGGTGATACCCTGCATGTGCCCACATGTACATATCCTGCAAAAGTAAATTCTAATATTATAATGCGTATATTTGTATGTTAACTTGCTCAAATTGGAAATGTACGTCAAACTTAGCTGCCTTCCCAGTCAATAAATAGCAAACTTTGAAGAGCAAAAAGTAGCTTTCTACATGCTAATAGGTAATCTTTATTCTACTTTCTTATTTTGACATATGTATAATCACGAGAAATAAAGTAAATTGCCACCAATAGTTAAAGATGACAAGGAATAGCTGACGAAAATCTGACTGAGTGGGAAATTATTAGCTACGACCTTACCATGTTTTTCTGCAATGTCGTTCCAGTCGAGCAAAACTTGTTCCCCCTCCAATGCTCGACTGAAGTAATTGAATAGAGCGTTTACCCAACCTTTCATTTCGGCTGCCGGTTTCCTGCATAAAACAGGATACTCTTTCCCCTCCGGAATTAACTGGTAGTATAACCTATAAATTTTAACCACATGTCAAAAATATTGAAGTGTACATTTTCTCAAACATATAATAGCTTGACATAGGTCTTGTAGCAATCACACAAACTTACTATGAATTCATTCAAGTTCCATCAGCCATGAACATAAAACCATTTTACAAGATCGAAGCTTGTATTCGTGCCGAAAGGCGAAGAGGCAAGTAAAGGATCTTTACAAGATGACAGATATTAGTACAACCAAAAACTTATATGCAGGAAAACACTATGAAAAGATGATAACTTCCACAAATTCATAGACTAATTTAGACCAAATATATAAAGAAGGGAGACAAATTCGTACAACAAGAAAATCCAATCTACACATTACATAATAATTGCTGCACATCAATATACACAGAAAATTAATTCAGATAATGTTCCTTTTCAGTGGAGTTACAAACCAGGGTCCCCAACGTTCAGGCGGGGTTATAATCTTGGAGGGTATTCTGGAAACCATCTCAGAATAAAGAACCTTCTGCAATTCTTGGGTATCCCTCATGAACGCCTCGGCGTAGGTGTTTTCTTGTCTGACGTAGCTGATGAAATCCGGGTCGTTGACGTCGGACATCCAACGGTACGGGTCCTGCCACATCACCCCGTGAGCGGTGGACGTGAAAGACGCCTTCTTGGCCGCCGGTGGCCGGTCCGCCGCCGGTGTGAAGTGGCTGTGTTTGCATTTTCCGGCGAGGGTGGAGAAAAGCCCTAAAGAGGGTGGATTGAAGCATGGGTAGGAAGAGAAAAGAAGAAGGGTCTTTATACGTGGGTTCCTAGGGCAAAGGAGGCGGGCCGCCATGGCGGCGGCGACGGCGGCGGAACTGGCGGCAATTGAAGGACTTGTTATACGACTGCGACTATGGAAGAGCTACTAGTTAGCTCACTGTCAGTGGCAACACCGTAAATTCGCTGAGGTAGCGGGCAGATGCTTGTAGAATCGACCCAAATCTTACAGGTCATTAGCTCATTTAGAAAAGTTAATGAACCCACTTTGGTTCGTAACTCTGTTTTTTTTTTGGCGAATTTACTCGTCTTACTAAAATATTGCATTCTTACATCTGATCTGAGCAGGGATGAAAACGATCCGAAACGATCGGCATAGGGCTCAACCATTTCCACTTTCATATTTTTTTCTCGAAAACGAAAATGATACGATAATGTCGGAAACAAAACGACATTGGTATTCCGGTAATATTGAAAACGAAACTATCCGATCGAAAATACATCGATAACGATCAAAATATATTAAAACGGTATTTAAAAAATGATAAACACACCACATTATAAAATATAGCATTAAAACATTAATTGAAATATTCTCATGGCATAATAGTAGCAAAATCCAAATTAAAATCCACACCATTTGCTATAACAAAATCCATACAAATTCCAATAACTAGCAATTCAATTGTGACTTGTCCACCAAATTCTCATGGAATAATAGTAGCAATTGAAATTTGAAACATGAAATGGGAGCAATTAGGTGAGAAATAAACCATGGAACCACCAAATCCACAAAAAAACCACAACAAATTTCAAAAATGTGAGCTTTATAATTTAAAGTGAGCCTAGTATGGGTTGGGCCGGTATTACCGACGGTAAATACCGTTTAAATACGGTAATTTTCGAAAACGATCGGAAAAGGGCTAAACCGTTTTCGTTTTCATTTTCGATTTTTTTACCGTTTCTATTTCCGTTTTTCCGGTTACCGTTTCCGTTTCCGTTTAGCCTCCAAATCCGAAAAAATTTCGAAAACGATTCCCGGTAATCGGAAATTACTGTTTCCGTTTTCATCCGTAGATCTGAGCCAATTTTAATTGCATCCATATTAATATTGTGTCATTTAATTATATGTCTACCTTAGACTAGTTTCTAAAATATACTCTCTCCTATTCATAATATTTGTGGTTTTGAGAAATTGCACAGTTATTAAAAATATATTTTTTGCCAATAATAACCCTCATTAATGAGGATAGAGATGAACGTTTTGAGAAAAGATGAAGAGTGAATATGAAAAGACGTAGTATATTTATTAGCTAGATGGGTAATAATGAAAAAATATGTACAAAATACCCAAAACGACATTTATTTTGTTAATACTTGATAATGCCAAAATGACATTTAAAAAGAATAGGAGGTAGTAAAATATAATCCCCTTAAATTTCACCCCATAATTTTAATTATATGTCTACCTAATGTCAGTTTTCAAAAATAAAAAAGGCTCTCCTTAATATCCACCCCATAATTATTTCAGACATTACATAATTGTTGTATACAATGACCGTACCGGCCGGTATTACCAGTAATACCGGATACCGGTGGTCTGACCGGTACATTTACACTCTAAATACCGTTTTTGCCAAAATATCGGTTTATACCGGTTTCATACTGGAAAATACCGGTTTTATCTGCCAAAATACCAGTTTATGCCAAATTTTTTAAAAAAAAATATTTTTAGTATATTTTCATTAATTTTTTTATATAAAATTGAAAGTTTTACACTTCATTTTAATATGTTTGTATTGTTATTAGATGTTAATTAATTTTAATATTAATTAAAGTTAGTTTTGTACATTATTTATATTGTAATAATAATTAATTTAATATTTATTAATACCGATAAAATAGACGGTAAAATTCGGTCGAACCGGTTGAACCGCGTACAGTTGGCTCGTCCGGTATAATGACCGATACGGTATTTAAAACACTGGTTGTATATGTTAATTTACTTGACTGAAATATTTAGTTTTATTTTTTTTCGTAAAAACTGCAGCTACAACGAACTATATGTTGTGTTTATGGTCAACAAGATTTTTCAGCTCTCAGGTGTTTAGAATAGACAGTATATATTGCATTTATAGTCAGTATATATTCAGTATATGTCGTGTTTTTTATTTACATAACATGTTTATACAACCACAATTGTGATGTTTGAATTTTGGTTCAGTATATAAACCTAATATGTATTTTATTTACATAACATTTTTATCTAACCACAATTGTGATGTTTGAATTTTAGTTCAGTATATTGCATTTATAGTCTAACCACAAATGTGATGTTTGAATTTTTTTTTTTTCCAGTACACAACATATTGTATAAATATCATAAACTGATCATAATGATTATTCTAATAAAATATTTTAGTGTATGTAGAGTACATGATACAAATAGAAAGGTCAATAGCTTATTAAATGTCAATCATTTGAAAAAAATAGGTTCATTAATGGAAAAAGCGTAAAAATACTAATGTTAATTAAAAAAGTTATACATCCTAACAAAACTAGAATAAAATTATGGATTGTATACGTATCATAAACTACTCATAACATTAGATGTGTGTGGGGGAAAAGAAAAAGTAAAACACACTATCGATGAAAACAAATGCATCAGGTATACCGTAAACATATACTAAAAACATATTGCCTATACACGCAACATATGCTACCGACATCTCTACGAGCCCAAGCTTCGGGGCTCGTCTTCGTAATCTATCAATGATTCAACCAATCAATTTTCTATTCTGGTTCACAGTCTCTTCATCACCCATCGACCTCCGTTACTTGACTTTCAACGAGACGAGGCTTCCAAGACACCATGCATCCAACTGAAAATACATGGTGGGGCTGGCTTTCCATGGCGGTATGAGGTACCGATTCCTTGGGTGGTAGATCGCTTTTAAGTAACCTCGAGAAGAAGAAGAAGGGACATATAGGGATGGAAAGAACAGAGAGATGAGAAAAGAAGAAAGTCCCCATTGATAGGAAATCAGTTTTGGCCAGTAACTGCAAAATTTCCATTAAATCCACCACTTCCTTAATTAAATATAATTATGTCTAAAATAGAATTTTAGTATTTATGCAAATAAATTACCTAAATTTAGTTATTTTGCTAATATATATATATATATATATATATAATGTAAATATATAGTATAAAGTATCTTGTGTAGTGGACTAGGTAATTTTCTCTTACTTTTTCTGGGCTAAATTACACATATGCCCATTGTTAGTTTCTTGTGTCCCATTATGTTAAGGGAATTTGTTTGTTACAATTTTATTATAACAAGTAGATTCCATTTCTACATATGTCAAATATTTATCCTATAATATAATTCTTCAATCATAGCATATAATAGGTAACTGAATACATTCCTTCATAAAATGGTATCTTTATTTATTAATTGATTATTAATAATGAAAAGAAAAAGATCGTGAACTCCTTCAATAACAGATGATGCGTGAACTCCTGGAACGTGTTTGTAAGTAAATCAAACGCAATCTTCTCTGATTCTGCTTGTGATTGGAAGAAAAACGCTCATGTGCATATTTTTTCCTTTTTTTCACAGTTATACGAATCATGTGTTATATAAAAAAAATACATATAGTTTTTATTTAAATTACTCAATTTTTTTATTTGAAATTTACAGATCATGTCTCGGATTATGATATTTATCCAGCACAAGTGAGTTGGAAAACAACTATTACAAAAATTATGAAGTTAGTGGTATTCTTGTTCAACAAGAATGCATGTTTAATGAATTTCGCCATATGGTGCTGGACAAGCTTGATGTACAAGATAGAGACCCAAACGTGGAACTAAAATACCAAGTCAAAGAAGGATACCCTATTTTATCAATCAATGATGATAGCAGACTCCAATTCAACATCGAGCTAAAATCTAGTGATCCTGATTTCAAGAGGTATCCTATTTATACGACAATTGATGTTGCAACAAGCACACTAAACGCAAATCATAGTTCGCCCTTGCGTTTGGTTCAAGTCATTGATTCAACATGTAGACCGTTCCAATCCATGCCAATTATTGGTGCTGAGGGTAAAGATGTTTGCTCCATGGATTTCATGGAATTGCACTGAAAGCTGCAAAAGCAATGGATGAAGAATATAAAATTACTATAAATAAACTTCAAAGAAAATGTGTGGATCAATTTCGAAACGAAGAGACTTTTGATGAGCATATTGTAGCTGGGCATTCAGTTGAAAATAAAGATGTTTTGAAGAAAATGTTGAGTTTGCGCGCAATAAAGCATCAATACCAATTTAATATTGAAAAATTATGCTTCTTTCTATATTACGTCGAATGCATTGTGGATGAATGTGCTTGGTTTGTTAAGTCTTTCCGCATTGGGCAGACATACATGTTTAAGATAAGAAGTGTTGGAGGAATCATACATGTTCGCTCGATCAATGCACAGGTGAACAATGCAAGCTAATGCACAACTCGTAAGACAATGCATCAAAAATAAATTTACAAATCTGAAGGCGAATTGTTCACCAGGAGACATAATACATGACATGCAATTTAGGTGTGGAAAAACTTATCATATATGGTCAAAGCGCAAAGTTGTTGATGAAGTCCAAGGCAGGGCAGATGAGTCTTATGAACATGTCAATATACTTACAGTTGTTATGTAGATCCAATCCACGAAGCGTCGTAAAATTGTGCACCTCTTGAGAATGATAGGTTCATATATGTATTTATTGTTAGTATGTATTTTGTAACAAATAAATACCCAAAGGGGTTGGGGATTAAAGACGAATCCCAACCTGTATATATTCAAGATCCTAAATGGGCCAAAAAAATCATTGGTCTACACATGTTCAAACAAAAACCGAAAACAAAAACAAGAAAAAGAAAAAAAAAATAGGTTCTGACAAATGTAAATCATGTTTAATAAATTGTTTTACGTTTTGATATTTTACATTTAGATATTGTAATTATCACGGATGGACAGAAGATCACGTATTAATTATTTATAAAGCATAAATAGATTCACAATCTAGATGATAATAAACGACCCATGATACCGAGCAGAACATTTTTACAATTATACATCCAAACACACACTCACTCACACACACAAAAATAAAATGCAAAACGATAGGGAGAATCAATAAAAAACAACTAAACCTATTATGCATAAATTAGACATGGCCACCGGTTACCCGACCCGCCAACCCGGCCCGGAACCAGCACAGACCCGACCCGGGCAAACTCGTTGACCACGGGTCCGGGCCCGGCACGGATTTCAAACGGGCCAGTCAAGGGTCATGTTTTTTTTCGACCTTGACCCGGCGGGCCGGGCCGGATCCGTGTCAGCACGGAAAAAAAATATTGCTTTTGAATTTTATCTTTTTTTTTTAAAAAAAAAAAATAAATTATGTGGCCGGGTCCAAACCCGGGTCCGGTCCGGTCCAGCCCGTCGGGTCGTGGACCCGGCACGACCCTAGGTCCGTGCCGGTTCAAGGTCGTCAAAACCCAACCCGGTGGCCAAAAACCCGGCCCGGTTTTTGGCCATGTCTATATACATTATTCTCTCAAATCACGAACATTGTTACAATTGGATTAAAAATGTAAAAGGAAAAAGAGGAATTGGTCTAGCTTTTTGTTGGCAGCCAACACCTTTGACTGAGATAATTAATTACTAATCCGAGTCTTAAATATGGTCATAATTGCCACGAAAATTATCAAATTATGCAACTTCAAAATATCATTTTATCAACAGAAGTCCGACTGCTTGCCAATCTTTATGCTTTGAGTCCCTAAAAATTCTACAATAGCATTCTTTTGCCAGCCCTTGAAACTCCTGCAGCCAAAAGCCAGTAGGTTTTACATAAAATACGAAAGCCGAAAGTCGAAAACATTCCATATTCAGAAAAAAAATAGCTTTTGTTCGAACTTTGGCATGAGAAAAAAGAATTATGATAGTTGTGCAGTTTTTTTTTCCATTCATTAGGTAACTATATAATCACCAATAGCTATGGCCGGGCCATAGCTTCTATTCTAGCTACAAAAAACAAAAAAATAAAAATCGAGTTCTTTCAAGAAATAATAATATACAATCGATTTTTTTTAGCACATACGCTTGTAGAAGTAGTGCATTTTGATACTCTGTCCTGATTCCTGAATATTATCATATATTGAGAACCCTTTGCAGAGATATAAGAAAAAAAAAACGAAACTTACTTATGATCAAGATGTGCCAAAATTTCCCCACCGGGAAAGGCTGCTTTTGTAGCATCAAAAGCAACTTTAATGGCCTCTTTCCATGTCCCTCCAATACTTTCAGCAGTTACCTTCACGTTCGATTTTCCAGGATCCTCCATTGGCAGAGAGTATCCCGAGAGGAGGTGCCCAACCCAAATCCCCTCTTTCCTGCAATTTTTTTTTTTTTTAACAAAAGAGAGAAAATCAAATACATACCATGTGAATCGAAGTCGCAACAACCCGACTTGATCGATGATTGATCATACTTCATATTATCTAACAGTCAAAATATTGTTATAGTTGCTAAAAAAACATCTATTACGTTAGAAAGGAAGAAATATAAAGAAAATTACAAAAATTACGATACCGATAGCCTTCACTATTACAAATTACCACTCGAAAGAAAAAAAAGGAAAGTACCACAAAGGTTAATATTAAGTTGTTTACTATAAAAGCAACTGAGGTTTCAAAAAACAGGCCTTATATTTCACATGAACAAAATAAGTGCAATACTTGAAACAACCAACTTACATAATTATATCCATGTGTCGAGGTACATAGTGACCCCCTCCAATTCCAAGCAGCACTTTCTTCTTTTCGGTTGTACTGGGAAATAGAACAAATGAGCTTCTCCCAAAAAAAAAAATTATCGTACATAAGCAACATGAATGCTAGTAATGATACACACATACATATACGAGTAAAAAGCAAAAACAGAACATGAGTGTTCGACAGAAGGTTAACAGTTAGCGGAGAAACAAATAAACTCCTAGCATACCTGCTCCAGATTCCAACTGGACTACCTCCCCCGAGACCAAGGCCTTCCCAAACTAACTTCAAGAATAGTAATTGCAGTTTCAGTTATTGCAGTTGAGACTTGGAATATATCTATTGCACAAAACTAACTCAAGAATATTAACACTAGACAGGCGTTAGCATTTACTCAACTTGAGCTACCACACGAGCAGCATCCTCTCTTCCCCAGTATTCCTCTGTGCTACCTTTGTCGTGACAAAGGAAAAATGATTGCACCAAGATTTATGAATCAAGAGTTGTAAATATGAACTCAAACATCAACAAAAAGGCATGCCAGGCGAAAAACAAGAAAATGTCAGAAGGCTGAACTATGAAAAGAAAGCGTTTAAGACTTTACAGATTCAATATTTTCTGCACAATGACAGAGTAAGACGAACATAATTAGCTCCTTAGAAATGACCCAAATGATGATTTTGTCAGAAAATCAACAGGTTTAATTTAAAACCTTGAATTCTTTTTTATATTTAAATGAGTTAAATATGTGGTTATGTACCAGTCTGAGTATATATTCAGAAAGACATAGCAAATATGCATAGAAACACGCATAGAGACACACATAATCACGTAGGATCGCAAGAAACTGGTGGATCCATAATTTTACCTATCTCAACGAACATCGTTGGTTTTGTTGTTACAGGTCCATGATGAGTAGCTTCTAATGTTATCTGCATCCAACATGAAAAAGAAAAAAAAAAAGATACCAATAAACGGTTTTACAACCTGACAAATAGACATAAAATTCAACTAAATTAACTCTCGCAACAATACAAACATAATAATTTTGTCTCCCATTAACATTAAAATGAACACATGAGTAGTTCCTAAACAACAAATGTAAAAAAATGAGAAAAATAAGATTATAATGTTTGTAACGCAAAAGGAAGGCTGGACTTTTATGTAGTCGAGCCAAATTCTAAATCAAATCAAAGGTTTTGCTCAAGCTACAGAGACGAAAAACAAGTAAATTACGGATCTCGGCTGAAGTACTAGATAACCTCAAATTCAGGCAGTAAATTGTGGGAGTCAGCAATTTTTTTCAGCAGCAAAAGCCACGGCCCTATACGTGGACAAGGTGGAGCAGCCCAGCCTGGCCTTCCTCCTTGTGGTAGAGCATCCCCATCCTTCAAATGTGGTACCCCTATAAACAAATTGATTTTTTTTTTTTTTTTTAAATATTAACTAAACTCTTTTGGATTCAAACTTATAAGTTAAGATTCATATACAAAATCTATCACAACAGTTTTCTATGGAGACCTGACCTGATCTGATCTAATTTATTCAACCTTTCCAAGTTCAATTGCTAATGCTAAAAACTTCTAACCTCAACTGCTCGTCTCTGTCGAGAGCATAAATTTTTGCATTATAAGGGAGTGAAGTTTATTTCACTCACATTTCAAAACACCAAATTATCTAGTTAAATAGACAACAAGGTGCATAAATTCATCCAGGAAAAGATGTCGACTGGTTCGATCATTCAAACAAAGTTACATAATAGAAAGAAGCTCCTAAAATATCAATAGAAGCTCCTAAAATATCAATAAAAAACATCCTCTCAACAACAATCACACCATTTTACATATTTCACCACAACAACCATACTTTTTCACACTTGAGTGGTCCTACAGATCGATCGTCTAATAATGAGCATTCCAAGCAAAAACTAAATTAGAAAAACTGAACAAATTATACCATGATATGAATGTAAAACACACACACACACACACACACACACACACAATAAAATGCACGATGTATTTGGGTTTACCTATAGGATGAATTGTTAGTGCTGGACGATTCGAAACGGCGGCATGTCGAGAAAGAAAAATGAGCTCCGACACAGTCTCACCGGTGGCGGCCTCCCATCTGAGGTCGAGATCGTCTTCGTCGATTATGAACTTGTCCTGTTCCAATAACCGAAGGCCGTCGCCGTTCTTGAAGCTCCTGATGCCACCATCGAGAGTGGGCCCCGGCTGCCAACCGGGCATGGCCAGGAGGGCTTTCGCAGGGTTGATCGACGCCGGATCAGCGGTGGTCGCCACCACTAAAGTCACCATTTTTATTAGTAGGTTTTCGGTTGATTCACCGATGACCAAGGTTGTACTTGGATACAAATTAAAATTAAGTATAGAATTACTTTTAACCAATCATTTTGTTTTTCAAAATTTTAATTCAAACTTAATTCAACATAATTTTTATTAATATTATCAATATAATTAAACAACTGGTGTGCATCCCGATACTCATAAAGGCTTATTCTTTAAATTTTTTTGTAAACTTTATTTTAAATATAATTATTTATATTTAAACATCTCATCATGACAATAAAAAAAATTCAAAATATGAATACATATATATATATATATATATATATTGTGAGATAATGTTTTTACAAATTAAATGCTTATATAATATGTAACAAAATTTACTATAATTAATTAAAATTGGACCTCCACATATTAAAAATTTCAGGTTACATATTAAAAATTGGACCAAAAAATTATTTCGCATCGACGGCGTACGTCAATCATTTCTTGATTACATTTCGATAATTCAATTTTCTTGTTTTCAACTCTAATATGAACTCTACTCATAAGCGATAATTACAACAACCATCAATGTTAAATTTTTGCATAAATGTACTAGTGCAACTAACCAGTTAATACAAATTAATGTACTATTGACACTACAACCGTTCGAATAGGGTGTTCATTTCCATCTAGGTTATGAACCACAATTCTTGTTTCGCAAGTAACTGATGGAATGATCTTCGATTCGCTCGATGAGGACCCACTCTATCTAAGTGCAAAACAACAAAACATAAAATTGGTTTAATCTAACGTGATTCTCATTCATAAAGGGTAAAAGTTTAATATCAACCAAAGTCAAGCTTTTAGGGTCAGTTTGGTAGGGTGGATTGAGCTTGATATCATGTCTATTGTTATTATTTCATTCCTATAAACATGTTTGGTTCAAGCACTCCAAGCCCGTTAAAATAGAAGGGCCCGGTCAAATATTAACAACTTTTAGTATTGTGTATCCCACCTCATAGGTGGGATGTGTTATCCCACTCTATTTTTTTATTTAAATTTACAAATATATCCCTAATTCATATTTCCTTTTTTCCTTGAATTTGTGTCCGCAATGCAAGACTCCATTCCTTCTTCTTCATCATCATCATCTTCTTCTTTTTTTTTTTCTTTTTTTTTAAATTTGTATAAAAA